TAGTGGAGGTGCCTGTAGGGGGTTGTGCGCTGTTCCGTGGCGTTTTGCTTGGTGAACGCTGAAGAAAGGGAAGGGAAATAAACAAATCTGTAGTCAGAAACGGTTTCCGGCGTTTTGAAATGTGTGGGGTTTTTTTGTTTTTTTTTGTTGTTTTGTTTTTGTTTTGTTCTTGTTTTCTTCTGTGTCTCGTGATGATAGCGTAGGGAGGGTGCCAGGGAAAATGGCCCCCAGAAAGGCAGTGCCGCCTATGCAAGGCACTGGGGGTGGTGGCGTGCCATAGAGGATGGGGGATTTTGGCAAAATGCTTGCCTTGAGGTGTTGATTCCACTGCTAGTCTTGAGAACAGAAGTGCTAAGGTCTTTAATCAGCAGCCTGGAGTGTTAACTGTGTGTTGCATGGGAACATTTCAGAGCCCCAGCTGTTACCTTTCCGAGACCTTCTTGTGAGGTCAGAAAGTGCACTTTTACCACAAGGGAATTGAGAAGCTGGTGCCCTGTGACGTGGGAGACCGGTCTCACATGGCAACAGGAGCTTCTCGAGTCCCAGGTTGTAAAATTAACATTCACTGTGTGTGTGTTTCAGTTTCTGGGAAGAGAACCCTTAAATTTAAAAGCTAAACCTGAATCTTTACAGGCTAAAATTGGCAATGAGGCAGGGGACATGCTCCTGGTCATAACACAGCTGCTGAAGATCCCTTCAGTAGAGGTCAGCCTAATTAATTAGATGAGAAAACAATAAATCACTAATGAACAAAACCACTTGCTCTGTTGAAAAGATGCAAGAAACAGTACTTTTTTTCTGTTGGCTACCATGCTCAAATGGTGCTTGTAAAGACGGCAGGCACAACAGGAGGTTTCAGAAAGGTTTGACTTTCCAAGTCATCAGTGTTCCTGTAATGCCAAGGAATCCCTCCTGCCTGCTAACTGTAGGTGGTGAGACATAGAGAAGGCTGCTGATGGAGAGGTGACCCTGAGCAACTTCCCTGTTTGAAGGGAAGGATAAAAAGAAGAGTCTGAAGGAGTATCATAAGCACCAGGGACTTCATTCTGTTAAATAAAACCAGCGTACAGACAGCAGCTGATGTGAGAATGTGCAAAAGTAGAGAAAAAAGCCTTAATTTTGCTCTATATTCACTTCCAATTATTTGCTTCTGTAACTATTCCTTCACAAGCCTTATGTTCTAGGTGGGTTGTGTGGCCTCAGTTTTGCTACAGCACCTACTAGCCTTGCTGTAGCTTATCAGCTGTATTACCAAGTGATAATGTGACAACTGGTACTTGACAACACCTTCAAATGTAATATTTAACCTGCTTGTATCAGTTTCCCAGTTCCTTCCCATGTATAAACACTTGAAATTCTGGACATGCTGTCCAAAGCGCGTCACCTGGATGCACAGGAATTTCCAAGAATAGAACAGAATTCCCAAGCACTACACAAATATTTGTAGACAGGGTGATGCATCAAAATGAATCAGCTGGAGGAGCACCCACAAGGATTCATACACAAAAAGCAAAACAAATGATAAGATTTAAACTTTGCATTTAGAATGGTTGCAAATTTCTTGTTTGACAAATTGTCACTCTGCGTATGTGCAATATTTCTTGAATACCCATACTAGCTGCTGTAAGATACTGTAGAGGTGGGATGACCAAGAAATCTCCTGAGAAATTTAAGGCCCACATGTGAGATCATTTTCGAAACTGCATGTTAAGGCCCACTGCTAGAGCTGCTGCCTGAGCTATGCACAGGCCCACAGGATCAGAAGTACACTTGGGGGTTTCTCACTGTCGCACCAAAATCTGTAACAAAACCAGATTAACGCTGATTTACATTCCATGCAACAGTATTGAGCATTATGTGCTATTATAAACTATCACATCAAAAGGCCATTTGGTATATTGTTAATACTTGTGTGACTTGACATAGTTTTGTGTTTTGTATTTCCTTTTGAAATAATGAATTTATACTTTAAAATGTTGTGATCGTCTTCTGACCTAAAGTGTCTAAAGGAGGTACCTGACTTGAGAGTTCAGGCCTCTTATAGAAAGACAGTTCAAAGGACAGTTCAGTGCATCTAAGATCCTACATTTTTAGGCTCTTAAATAAGCTAGGTGCAGAAGATAGATTGTATGAATAGTCCATGCTGCTATCCCTTTATCAAGTTGGAATAGATCTAAATCTCAGGCTATTATCCGTTGGTTCTTTCCCCCCCCCCCCCCCCTTTTTTTTTTTTTGATAATGTGAAATCTTAAAAACTCAGCACTACCTCGTCCCTTCATTCTGCACAAACCCAGGAGCTGTATCACCAAGACTATAGTAGTTACAAGCTAGGCTTTGAGTGAGATAAATTCAGTGTGTTGTGTTCCTTGTACTAGTATTTGGGGTCATGTGAAAATAGTGACCTATTAAGTGGGATCCCACCAGAAGGAACTTGAGAATCTGTAGCCTCAGAAACAGTCTTCCTCTAAGACTTTTCAAAAACGCTGCTTTACCATGGAAAGATTACAGAGATTCCTACATTCTTCCTTTAGAATAAATGGCTTTGGGAAAATCAATATTTTAGACGCCTCCAAGATTTTCTGTTCTGAAACACAGGATATACATTTTGTTTAATAACTTAAAGAGGACCTGCATGGAGGAAGGCGTGGGTGTGAGCTGTTTTGACTTCTTTCAGTTGCGTTTGTGAAGCTGGAGAGGTTTATTCCTTAAGAAAGGTAAGGGAAAGGTCACGTTCACATGGGTGTTTACACATGTTTACACGGAAGGCTATAGCATCTCCTCTGTGCTAGAAATTTTGCAAATTCCGAGCTATAAGGATTTCCTCCTGGAAATTTCCATGAGTAAAAATGGATCCGAAAACCCTTTTTTGTTGTTGCCTACTAGCAACACTGACTGGCAGGCTTGACTGCATATCCAAGTCTTCCAACAGAGCCGTGCAAGTTGTTGGTCTTGATATTTCTGTAAGCAGGCAAGATGAAATGTATATGTATTTAAATACAACGGCTTCTCAGATGATAGTCAGGAGAGGACTCACACAATGATGTTCTCTGTACCTGCCAGTTTCTATATCTACCAGTCAATCCTCCCATTAACCTTGAAGCTCAGTGGCTCACTTCAGTCAAGTTTCCGAAGGGGCGTCAGGCTGCAGCGCTGCGGCCTCCGCCAACGAGGTGGCCAGGGAGACACCTTGCAAGTGTCTCTGCTGAGGAGAAAGCTCGGAGGCTTTCTCCTTTCTAGCCGGCAGAGAATCCAAATGAGGGAAACACAAAACAACTTGCTTTCACTTGCAAATCATCCTCCCTTAAAGAACATCATAGTTGGAGGCCCCGGGAGCCAGAGCCTGCTGGCTGACAAGGCTCCATGGAAGTGCGCTACCAATGAGTTAAGCCGTCACCTTCTGGAATGAAGTGCTGCCAGACCAGCTGTCCAGTTTCTAATAGGACAAGGGGATGTTTTTGCTGACAAATCCTGAAAACATGTACTACTGGGTGCAATGTTTCTAGCTCTGGTAGTCCAGCTGCCAACAAGTACGTAAGGAATACCTTCTTGAAGTGGTTGGATGAAATTGCGATTCATCTGCAAATATTTTTGCACTGGTGGTAGCTCCAAGGCGAGAGAAGAGCAACATTCAGCCATATCTTTGCCATCTTACACATGAGGTGCTCCAAGAGAGACATACAGGTAAGAGAGTATTTTTATATCTTTTTGTTTCAAGGAAAAACAAGCAGTAAATATGCTGGTTAAACGCTGCAGAGCTAGAAAAGATTTAAGTGAGCAACAGCTTTCTGAGATAGAAATTGAATGGACTCTCCTTTATCCTGTAAAATTCCAGCATGTAAGCAAGCTATACTGCTGTGTTTCATGCTCTCAGATCACATCTCCAGTTTGATCTCAAGACATGGAGTGGTGCTATTTGAAAAGCTATGAGATTTATTAAAATCATTATTAAAATGGCTACTTATGTAACGCTGAAGAAACACCATTTCAATTCAAAAACAAGTTGCTAAAATGGCCACAAGAAATTTAGCAAAACAAACCACTATGGCAATTTTTTCAAAAAGCATATTCATCTGTAAAAATGAGCATTTTCCACTTAGCAAATTCTTCATGTTTTTAAATTTCAAGTAGTCCTAAGTCTCTAACAAGAAAAACTGGAGACAAATCAACACCCCTGTAAAAGAAGGTCTCTTCCGCAGAGCAGTGAACAAAAAAGAAAATCTATTAATATAATTCATCTTAACTTTCAAAAAGTGCCTGACTATTGCCCACAAGAGGCTACTAAGGAGATCATGCTCTGATCCGACTTGTTGCATCCACAGCATTCCTTATTCACCTGATTTTCTCTCATGGTTGGTTATAATGCCTTTGGGCAGAGACGCTTCCGCACTCTGTAACCAGCCCTGTTCTCCTTTGTGGAGCTGTGTGAACTCAGGTACGTGTGTACCTGACTTACCTGTCTGCAGAATCGGGGCTGTTTGCGCGTTGTGTCTTGGCACCGTGTATGGCAAGGCAGGCGGAGGCACTGGCTGCCAGGCTAATCCCTTCCACCTGCAGAAGCAGCCAGGGACTCGCCTGGATCAGCGGAAACACAAAATTTACTACGATTGGGAGGATCGCGCCTCCCTGTCATCTGACTGTGCTCAGTATGGAAAAGTTGGGAAAGAAAATGAGCAATTTGATGATAGCCAACACTCTTACCCTCAAAGCAACAGCCTGTCTGAAACCTGATCAGTTGTTGATTTATATTACAAGGACTCTGTCAGATATTTAAAAAGCATTATATCTTATTTTGTGTAAATTTTGTGCCAGCATCTCTAGTTTCAACTTAGGACATCCAGGCCAAAATGCAGATACAGGCATCTCCTGGCACATACTCAGAACTAGCACCTGTGCACTAGGCATGAACACTGCAGATGTCTCGGATTTATTTTCCTTGGAAATGCAGTAGATCTGTAAATGCACAGCTGTCATTTATCAGGACAGGCAACATCTGATTTGTGCTCTTGGGGATCCAGGGAGGCTGCTGCCCCCAATCCCAGACACGAGGCCAAATTCCTGTTTTTCTGTTTGAACCAAATTTAGGAGGTGGGGGGAGGAAGGGACGTGCATGGGAAGAAGTAAGATAAGTGAGTAAATGCTCAGCTTTCTTGTTACAGGAAGGACAGCTCTTCCATTAAAGCTCCAGCACTGTGGAGCTCCCTGGAAGCCTCCCCGCGGCTTCCTGCCAGGAGGACATGTCTTCCCAGCCCTGTCATGAGCACGTCACTCTCTGCTGCTGCTGTATGTCCTGTGTCAGTGCTTCTCTGGTAGCAAATTGTCACATAGATAACCTGCAAACCGGGGAGAAAGCATGCGAAGGAGAGCATGCGCCTTGGAGAGGGGCAAGTGGAAGAGCTTCAAGAACTGCCAAACTAATGGTTATGAAATGTCAAACCTTTCCTCAACCTCTGCTTTTATAGCTTTCCATGTCCTGCTTATTGTTATTTATAACCAGATGCTTGCAGACCATGGAAGAGAAACCATGTCGCTTCAGAAGACTTTATCACTTTAATGTCCCTGTCCTACAGGTTTGAAAATGTCATTTCACATGACTGGAGACTTATGGACTCTAACTAATAGCTTCACATATGAACAGTCCTAATAAACTCAATGCATCCACTCATGTGCATCACTAGGTACAGAATTGAGATCCAGCCGTTCTGAAAATCACTACACCTTGTATGTGTATTTACATACATTTTCTTCTGTCTGAGGCATTGTCTCACATCTGCTGTGTTGACACTCATTTATTTTTGAGTGGAAACAAGTTGTTTAAAGTTTTGCTTCCAAATGCTTCGAAATATTTTGCTTCCAAATGCTTCTGTGTTTTTCTATCTTTTTAGGTGTCTTCCTCTCATCTCTACCCCGGTAAATATAAACGCAGCCAGAAAACCTGTCCCTGCAGCTGTAAGATTTTACAATAGCATAATGTAAATCTCTGTCCATTAAGTATCATGCTTGTATAAAGAAAATTTTACAGGTTCCTGAATATCATAAGCAGAGTGTCAAGTTTGATTTTAAAGGTAACAATACTATTTGCTGACATATGTGGAATGTTATCTGTAGTAGCATATTGCCTTATCTACAAGATAGAAAAAAAATAGGCCAGAAGTGAAATCTTGCCTGTAGTTCTTGATGACTTGGCTTTTGGCTGTTTTAAAATTTACCAAAGGTGTTTTCAACTTATATATTGTGTAGGCAGTAGGTAGGGGCACAGTTAAAATAAAACACAAGCCATGCTGAAACAGTTTCAGAACTAAGAAAGGTCCAGTTTCCTCACAGTGACACTTCAAATAAAATTATAAACCTGGATGTTCTGGTTCCAGGAACGGTGGATACCACGCTGTAATTTTTTGGTTGTATAGACAATCACCTAATTCCAATAGGTGCAAACAGAAGATTCCCTCTTTTGTCTATGGAGTGTTTAGGACTTTTACAGCACCTGTGCAGGTTTCCCAGTTCCTCCTAAATCTGAGGGGGATTAATGGGGCCTCACCTTATGTAGCAAACATGATTCTGTAAACTGCTGTAAGGCTCATCCTGCACAGTCGTGTGCTCTGGACAGTCTTGATCCTCACAGTCATAATGACATAAGACATTTTATGCTTGCCAGTAGCGTGCTGCATCATGGGGTTTTCATGAGTGCCTTTTAGAGTGCTCAACCAGGTACAGGCACACCAAGCATGCCAGGCATTTCTCTGAGTTTGCTGCCACTGGCACACTTCCTGCTGCATTGTATGTCTTATTTTATTAAGCAAAGCTCCATTGGGTGAAAGAGGGAACTTACTGATATCCATCGAGGATCTAGGTGTTTCTGTAATACAAGACATGTTTAAAAGCAGTAGTTCATCAGTGCAACAAAGTATACTCTGATCCCACTTTCATGTCTTTCATTATAGCTGTGTGAACCAGAAATGTTGCATATTTGTTTTAATAAGAGAGTCTGCGGCAAGATGTGGACTTCCTGCAAGACTCTATGGTCTTAGAGCATACGGGCTCTCAAATCACATAGCACGCAGGGTATTGCTTGCCAGCCTGCATTTCCAAATACCTGCATCATCACAAAGCCCACAAGCAGCCCTCAGACAAACACAGTTAAATTCCGGAGTCCGGTACTCCCACCCCCTTTATTTTGCAAGGTTGCTCTATCAGCGTTATGTTGGTTTTGTCCCCCTACAAAGGAAAGCTGGAGTCTTTCTCTGACATCCACAAGAGGATTGGTGCTCAGCAACCATCACCCTGAGAAGTCGAAACAGGAACAACTGAGCCACATGCAGGTAACCTTGTTCGGATTTTGCACCAAAATGTTTTGTGGTTACTGCTTCCTCCTAGCCTGACACAGCAGTGCAGACTGTGGGAATGGAGCCCTTGCAGCTCCACTGCATGACGTGGTGCCAAGTTACACTTTGAAAAATAGATTGCACATGTAGAGGTGATTATAGACACAGCCACCTAACCAGATGTCAAACCAGTGAGTAATACAAAGAGTCAGCAATTACTGTGAAATATTAATTATGTGCCTCAGTAATTAGCTTCTGCCGAAAACCAGTTTTCCACAGGCCCTGGTTTCAGGACGGAAGTGGAGACGAGCACATAGACACGCTGTGGTTGACTGTGTCAGTCGGTAGGTGGCTGTATTGCTTCTAGCCATCTCAGGGAAGAAATTTCCATTTCTATAGCCAAGAAAAGGAGGGCTTTTTGCCATAGATATACGAAACCACCAACAAGCTATGGAGACTTTTGCATTTTGATGTTCTATAATGTCTCCATTTGCATACAGTATTATTCCTCTGTTTTTGTCTAAGCATTTGTTAACTGCACAGAATTTTTTAACAGTGCTTGACCAGTCCATCTGCCATTTCTTTTACCTTACCTGAAGTAAGATGATCTGCTTTTGACATCACCTTCATTTCACAGCCACAGTCTGCAAAATCACAAGGAAGCCCTTATGTCAGAACTGGGTATTTCAGCTGTTAAAAATGGCCTGTGAGGTTTCCATGCCATGTGTTGTGGGCCCAGGTCTGGTTCATCTTTATAATCTCTGTCCTGGTTTCTTCTGATTCTTACCCGCCGGCTCTGCAATAATACATTTGAGTCTCCTGTCAGTTTGTAATATACCAAAGAAACAATTGCTTCATTGATCAACCCCAGCAACAAGAGTGGATAAGTACTGAGTTGTAGCTGTTCCTTTCCAAAAAGCAGTCACACCAGATTGGAATTGCAGGGGACTGCCAGGGCAGCAGGAGGAAGCTTGCAATGTTAGGGGCCCTCTATTCTGCAGCTAAAAAAACAACATTTCAGTTACCAAGAAAGCCTATTCATAGGTTTGCTCATGCATTAAATGACCACACAAAAAAACTTTCCCCTCTGCCCTAAAAGTACAAGCCAGCAGGATGCCCGAAGAGTTCGGTGGTAGAGCAACTTATAAGAGGCACAAGGAAATTGTATTGACTAGAATGGAAAGAAATGGAAAAAGAGACAAATTTGGGTTTTTTTTTGCCAATTGCAGGCAAGTACTTGAGAGTAAGCAACAGATGCAGAAAGGTCAGGAAAGAAAGAGTAAATACTTAAGAGATGCAGGTTCATAAAATAGTAACAATTCTTGGAGTGATGTCCCCATACAGGGAAGGCAGCCGGTAGGAGGGATCTGTATTCCCCTGAAGGCGCTTGGGAATGTTTTCCTTGGTTTCAATTGTCTGTGAGAGCCACAGAGCTGCCAGTCCTGGAGCCAGCGGGACCTTCTCACGCCGGCCTGGCTCTCAGCTAGTTCCTCAGGCCGGCGCAGGGAAGCGCCGCCGGCTGCTCCTGCTTGTAGTTCTGCCCTGGGGCTGCTAGAGGCCCCTGTGGCGCTTTTCTTTGGACAAGTGACCACATCGAGCCTTTAACTGGACTGCGTCCAGAAGCAGTAGACCTGATCCAGGCCAAAGGGAGCAGGATAGAGGTTCCCACGCTGGCATGTCAGGAGCCAGTTCCGACAGGATCCCCCCAGCAAACATTTTACTTTATCTCTCTATATATTCTTATTCCAGGAGCCAGAGCATCCACTGACCTCCCCAGACAACTAACTACTCTTTAACCATCCAACAACTCCAGCCACTGAAATCACCTGCATATGTGGGTTCAATGCCCCTCTGCTTCCCCCCAGATAGCACCATCCTCTGCTGCAACCATCTCTCCCCATCAATCCCCTTGTTAGTTCCCAGCAGCACCCAGTGAAGAGCACCTTTGCTCTGCCACGGCTCAGACCAGGGTTTGTTGCTCATTAACCTAAAATTTGTTTACAAACGTGCACATGAGCACAATAAGCTATTTGCATACAAAGTACACAGGCACTGGGGCAGGTTTGGAAGCTCCGCTTCGGTCCCAGGCTGGGCCAATATAATGAGGAGAGTAATACTGGGCCTCCCCCCCCAAAAAAAAAAAAAAAAAGGAATCAAAGAAATTGTAGTATATGAGGCACATCAAACATTTCAGCTTGTGGAAAGTGCCTACAGCACAGTGACTGCACATTATGTGGAAGTGAACAACCAAGA